GTTATAGATCTTGGTTTTATGGAGTTACCCATTTCAGATATGCTCCTTTAATTTTTGAACTCTCCAGCACGCCCATAAGCAACTCTGGTTTCCAAGAATGCGACCCTTTTGTTTTTTCTGGATGTTGCTTTAGGGTGGAGAAGTCTGTGCTGACAGATAACCCCTGATGGGGGGTGGGCATTATCCTTTGGGTCTAGGAAGGGTCCTGAAAAGACCAGGTGGTGCCCATGGGGGTCGCAGACAGACTAGAGTTGGGGAAGGAGGCAGGGAAAGACTGGCGATGAAGAGGAGAGAGAGAGGAGAAAGAAGAGCAGAGATATTGAGAGGCAAGAGAGAAAACACCCACTAGGGGGATTGGGGGGGCATGTTTAGAGCCAGAGATAGAGCAGGGGAGAGATGTGGAGAAAGACTGACCGTGATACAGTTGGCATCCGAGGCCAGGTCCCCAGGAACGGTGTTGTGTCATCCAGATTCCTGCCCTGACTGGGCATCCTGGGTGTCCTCCTATAAAGGCTCAGAGAAGTTTCCTTGTTTCCAGTCCTGTTCCTTGCCTTACCAACTGCGACCTTGGCCAAGTCATGTAACCGCTCTCAGCCTCAGTTTCTCATCTGCAGAGTGGGACAGCCAATACCACCTTCCCAGAGGTGCTCTGAGGATGTTGAGGGGAGGGTGGTGATATACAGAAAGCATTTAGCACAGAGGAAAAACTCGATAAATAACCACTCTTCCTTCTTCCTCTTCTTCTTCCTCTGTTTCTTCTTCTTCCTCGTGTCATCACCACGAGCATTCACTAAACACTTGAATACCAGAAAACCCCACATGGGCATCCTGGATGGAGGTGCCGAGAAGACCCTTCAGAGCTGGACACCTGCCTCTCAGTGAGGGCGGCACTTGTGACGTGTGCACTTGGGCTGCAGAGTTTAGAGCAGGGTCCCGAACGTGCCCTGAGGCCAGCAGATGCCCAGCGCTGCCCAGATAGCTACAGGATTCCCGAGAGAGGGTGGAGAGTGGGGGAGGGAGGGGATCGAGGGAGGAAGAGCTGTGGGGGAGGGAGAAAAAGGGAGGAGAGAGGTTGAGTCAAGCAGGCAGGTCAGGAGAGAGGAAGACAGAGAAATGGGTGGAGAAATGGGAGACAGAAGAAGAGACTAGGAGAGACTGAGAAAGAGACCTGAGGGGGTCTCTGGCCCTTGTCCTCCCCCCAACTTTTCTGCCCAAGCCACCCTTTAATCCACCTCCCCAACTCTTCTCTGAAAGTCCCCACCCCCACCTGTCTCCACCCCATAGGCCGGGCCCTCTGCGGGCGTGCTGGCGGCCATTGCTTTTGGATCCACCCAGATTCCGTTGGCCACAAGCACCGTCCATCATCCCCGCCCCGCAGGCCTGCACCCCGGCTCCCTATCGGCCCATCGGAACTATCGGTCTCCTGCCATCACCTTCTGACTGTCCACCGCCTTTCCAGTGGGCCCAGGACCGCTGGGGCCACCAGAGGAGGCTTACGGAGTCGGGTGCTGTCGCTAAGTGACCGTCACCCCCACCCATCTGCTCGGGGGCAGCCCGGGCCCCAGGCCCTGCTGGGGCACCCACGAGGGGCTCGTGTGCTCCTCCTGGGCGGGCGGCACGGCGCTGATGGACGAGCCGCGGGCCACACTCCACCGTCGCCACACACCGCTCGATGCTTCTGGAAGTGGATCCATTTGTACTCGCTGGTAGACAGGCCCACGGGGCGGCCCTGGAGTGGACCTGGCGGCCGCTGCCGCCTCCTCGCTGGCCCGGCAGAGGGAGGAAGGGAGGGCCTGGGATGGCGAGTTGGGCTGCAGCCGTGAGGAGAGGGGGGCAGCCCCTGAACTTGGGCTCCCTGACATGCCAGACACAGGAGGGCACATGGGGGCAGGGCAGGTCAGGAAACACGCACCCCTACTGCGTGCCGGGTGCCATGCTGTGTGTCGGGGATTCGGGGATCCACTGGACACTTTCCATGCCTCTGAGAGTCTCATGGGGTGATTTTCCTTCCTGGACTTTAGGGGGTTCTGTGCCCGCAGGGAGAGCCAGCGCTTGGCCCACAGCCTAGTCCCAGACAGGTCCTGACCGGGAGGCCAGTGTAGGGCTGGATCCTGTCTGGGGTGATGGCAGCCTCACCCCCCACCAGCGATGCCATAAATTCGGAGCATGCCACTCAGGGGCCACAGGCTGTGCACCCACATCCACGGGCTCTGGATGGAGCCTGGGACGGAGCCTCCGGTGCAGCAGGAGGTGAGGCTGCCTGGGGGGCCCTGTGGTGAAGAGGTCAGAGGCTGAGTTAGGGAGCGTGTGGCTTCGAGTTCACCGTCATCTGGGACAGCACAGCTCACGGGTGACAGAGGGGAGAAGGCTAGACGAGGACCCCGTGACGTGGGGGGCGCACTGACTCCGCCTGAGGGAAGGAAGCCGTGGCTCACGGGCCTTGACGTGCCCCGTGTCCCTGCTGTGAAGGTCTCCGGTCAGTCCCTGCTCAGGGTCAGCACGACTTTGGAGAATGTCGCGTGCGTGAGGCTTTTCTCCTCAAGCCCAGAGAGGCCGTCTTACGAGAAGATTCAAGAGGCAGAAAGACCCCATTTAATCAGCAGCCAGTTGGGAGACTACCGCCAGCCCCCCTTATCCACGGTCTCGCTTTCCGCAGTTCCTGTCCCTGGGGTCAACCGCAGTCCTCAGGAGTCACAAACAGGGAGAGACTTTGAGGGAGAGACCACATTCACGTCCCTTGCCCGCCGCGCGCTGCTGGAGCGTCTAGTTCACCGCTCGTGCTGGTTGCGAATGTCTCCCTGCGCCGAGTTTATGCCTGAACACCGGAGGCAGACGGTGCAGAAGCTACGCGGCGCGTGTCGGGAATGGTTCGATCCCAGCATTCAGGCGTCCGCAGGGGCCTCGGGTGTATCCCCCAGGATAACGGGGCAGGATAACTGCTGTGAAGGCGGGGAGGGGCCAGGGCGCTGGGGACATGGACCTTCTGCAGCGCTGGAAGCCCCGTGTGGATTCAGGTCAGAACTACTTGGACCCCAGGGGCACTCAGTCCTCAGCCCCCATCTGGCCTCACGGTTCACATTGCCCTAGGGAGAGGGAGGGCCCAGGGGCAGCCGCCACTCATTCCCTCATTCATTCATCCACCAATACAAAGTGTTTTTACTGAGCAGCTAGTATGAGCCAGCGCCGGCACTGCGTGGGCACCAGCAACCCAGCAGTGCGAAGGGTGAAGTGAGATGATGTCTTAAGGCACCCAGCACAATGCCTAGGACACAGCAAGTTTCCACAAATGTTGGTGACCTTGCTGGCTCCTGGATAAGCTGCAGAAATGGTCACAACAGTTAGCAGCTCCATCCACCAAGCCATCAAGTAGAGGTGGAGTCTTCCCCTTGCACCTTGACCCTCCCACTTGGATCTGGCCTGGCCTTGTGTTGTCTCATAGAATGTGCCAGAAGGAATGTGCCAGTTCCGAGTCTGGGCTGGAAGCAGCCTTGACTCTTCTGCTGTTGGAAGACCGACTCTCACAGGTGAGAAACCCCGGGCCAGCCAGCTGGAGGATGGTGAGAGGCCCACAGCCCACCTGCCCTCATCACCTTGCTGAGAGCCGGCTGCCATCCAACCTCCAGCTGCCCACACACACGCCAGCAGCCCAGCCAAGATCAGCCGAGTCTGCCCGAACCAGGACTTCCCTGCCAGCTCAGAGCTGGGAGCAGAATAGGGGCTATGTTTTGAGCCCTAGACTTGGGGGTGGTTTGTTGTGCAGTGAAAGCACACCCAGGTTCTGCATCTTCATGTTACCCAGGTCAAGCATAGGTGGCAGGGAGTATAACCACCCCCCAAATGTCCACATCCCCCAAATGTTACCTTATGTGGCTAAAGTGACTTTGTAGATCTGGTCCAGTTAAGGACCTAGAGACCGGGAGACTGTCCTGGATTCTCCTAGTGGCCCAAGGTCATCGCGAACATTCTTTTAAGAGGAGGCGGGGGGTGGGGGTGTCTGGCTCAGAAAAACAGTTGTGAGTTTGGGAACAGAGAGAGTGGTCAAAGGAGCTGCAGGACGGAGGCCAGGACCCCGAGGCACGCGGCCTCTCCATGCCGAGCAGGGAGGCGGCGAGGCTCCCTGGCCTCCAGGAGGAATGCCCTGCCAGCACCTCGCACCTCCAGGACGGCGAGACAAGAGATGTGTGTTGTTTTAAGCCTCCCAGTCCGTGGTCATTTGTTGCAGCAATGGGAAGTGGATATAGCACAGGAGGCCTCGGCGGCTATGCGTTCCCAGGTCTGGTTAAATGCAAGCTGGGAATCCGTCTTCCTCGTGCCAGGGGACTGTTCCTGCAGACCGGCGCTGACAGCAGGCACAGCAGCAGCTAAGGGTTATAACGCACGTCGCGTGAAAGGCGTCATGTCTCATTTCATGTCACGCTCACAAAGGGTACAGAGGGAAGGAAGGGCTCTGTACGCATCCCCCCTTCACAGGTGGGAAAACTGAGGCTCAGAGAGGTTACACACGCGCCCAAGGCCACACCACTAGGGCTGGGATTCGCAACCAGCTCCCTCTGATCCCAACAAAGGACGCTTGAACCGCCCCTGGTTCCCTCCTGCAGAAAGGGCTCCTCCTTGCCTCCCCGCCCACTAGCTTCACTTCCACCACCAGCGGCCCCTCCAGCTTTCTCTCTCCTGAGCCGCCACAAAAGCCACTTCCTCTCTCCCTGTGCTGTTTCCTATGGCTCAGACAGGCCAGCATCTCTGAAAGGAACTTTATTTCCTTTTGGCTTTCCCTCAGCTTTGCCGCAGAGAAAATAGAAATTGCAAAAACACAGACATGGTCTCAGAACTGCAGATTTCTGATCCCGAGAATTCCCTCCAGCCAGGATGGGCTGGCACTGCTGACTGGCACCACGCCTGGCTTCCCTTCCTCCCAGCTCCTGCCCCCACCTGCTTGTCGCCCATCCTTGGGAGAGGGCTACCTAAAATGAACAATCCATGATGGTCTATCTGGTAGAGATCATGTGGATTCTTTAATGTTTCTTAGGTTAAAAGCACCCCACTTTTCTTTAGGGGAATGATAGCTTATTCCCTCTCAGACCAGGTTACTGATCTTACCCCCCAGCTCCTGGGGGCCAGTGACCAGGGCAGGTGGATGCAAGTACCCCATCCCTTCTTCCCAGAGTGACGGGGTCAGGCACAGGCACATGACCCTAGATGAGCCGATCAGAGCCAAGGAGCAAGGATGACCAAAGTTTGCTGATGCTATTGGGTAAAGGTTGTTCTCATTTTTGCTTTGGTTGATCTTGCAGCAGCTGGGGACCATCTTTGCCAGTGTGTGAGCAGAGGCCTTCTGAGGATAAAGCCAACACAGAAGAAAGCACAGCTTCCATATTTAAAAAGAGATAAATTCTTGATGAGAATGTTTGAGGACCTGGATCCAGCTGTGCCTGAAGTCCTAGACATAATCACAGACCATTTAGTCACTGAGAAAACAAGTTGGTTTTGCTTGAGCCACTTTGAACTGGGTGCTTATCACACCCAGCTTAGCCAACAGCAAATATTTAATAAGCACTGTCCTAGCTTGGGTTCTCCTGAGAGTAGAGCTTGAGACTTTTGCGGCAAGTGATCTCTGGATACAGGAATGAGGGGCAAGGGTGAATGATTCAGGGGAGGAAGAAAGTTAATGCAAAAGTGTATTACTGAGCAGTAATGCAGTAGCAATCTCAGGTACTGATTTCTCCAAGACCTTGTGAGGAGTGTAGAAAATGCCTTCTAGAATGATCTATTGCAGACCTGGAGGCTAGAGCATTATCCTCTGGTTGCTGTCCTGCTCTGCTAGATGGGTTGACCCCAGTGACAATAATTGTCCCACAAAGCTGTCTATGTCTTTACCCCCAGAAGCTGTGAAATGGCGGGTTACAGGCAGAGGGGAATGATGGATGAAGGATACTAATCTGCTGACCTGAAAACAGGGAGATTCTCCTGGATTATCTTGTGGGTCCAGTATAATCACCAGAGTCTTTATAACTAGAAGAGGAATGCTCCTGAAGAACAACAGAAAGATGACAGTGAGAGAAGGACAGAGGCCAACATTACTGACTTTGAAGCTGCAGGAAGGGACCATGAGCCAAGGGATGCAGGTAGGTTCTAGTCTTTAGGGAAAAAGCAAGGAAGGGATTCTCCCTTGGAGGGTCCAAAAGGGGTTCAGTCCTTGATGTGAGCCGAGCAGGCACCATGTGGGACTTATGATCCCCAGGACTGAAAGCTAGTAAGTGTGCATTGTTCCAAGTCACTGACTTTCTATTTGATACAGCAGCCATGGGAAACTCAGACAACCCTGGGTGGGCAAGCGGCCTGGGCTCGGTTGAATGGGTTCCGTGGCATCAGACCAAAACCAGATCCAGCTCATGTTTGAGGAGGCTGCTGACCACACGGACATGAACCTCAGCTTGCTGGCACAGAACATGCTCTGTGAATATGAACTGGAACAAAGGGCGGGTGAGGGGCTGGTGGCAACTGCACCAGCAGTACCCCTGTGCCTGACACTGAGGGTGCCACGTGCCATGTTTTATTTATGTCTCAAGTCAAAAGAGTTTCTCTAGTTTCCTATGGAAATCCTGGGGCCCCTAAGCTGTCTCCCTTAATGGGGTTTTCACTCCAAGGGATCCCTCTGCAGCACAGCCATGAGGAATGACTTACGGACTCTCACAAATGACCCAAAGACCTCCCCCTACCCCAGGCTGTCGGCTCCATCTGCCTCCTGGACTTTCCCAGCACTAAGACTTCAGGTGCCTCACCCCCATACATTGACAGTTTAATCTTTCAGTAATAAAAACGCCCAGTAACAGTAACACACAGAAACAGGAGCATGTCATCCTTTTCTCTGGGCCTGGAAAGTTCTCACCTGGGGTAGCAGACTTGTGATGGTGTCCCTGCCCATGGCAGGCATCACTAATCAATCCAAGCACTCTTGCTCCCTATGTCCTGACATCCCCCTCAGCAGAGCTCCAGTTGGCACCCCAGCCATCCAGGGTGGGATTCACATCCTGGTCTGTATGGTCCCCCCAAAAAGACACGGAAACCTTCTCTGGGCTACACTCTGCTCCTGCAGAAAGAACCTCTCCCCACTCCATTTGGAAGGGTCAGGACTGGTTACTTCTCGTACACCAATCTTTCTTTCAATAGCAAAACTTCAAATGCCTGTTAAAATTGAGAAGGGAAACTGGTCTTGGGCAAACAACTCTGTCTAAGGGAAATGCTACTTAAGGAATTTCAAATTCTTCCTCATTTCCCTACTACCCCCAAAACTTGCCTCTTCCTTTGGGTCTTCTGACTATTTTTATTCATGATTAGAATTGCTTCCATGTATTGAACACCTACTATATGTCAGGCATGGCTGCAGGACATTCCTGTACATTCCCACAATGAAGGTGTCAGCCTGTCTTTGTTGGTGAGGAAATGGACATCCAGAGACATTAAGTGCTTCTCACTGGCCTAGGGTGTTGGGTGTTGTCTCCTTTTTCATGGGACTCACAGTTTTGTGGGGTGGGGGGAGACCAAACACATATGCAAATAAACAAACAACAAACTTGCAGACTGTGATAAGTCCTGGGAAGGGCACAAGGAGCAGCTGTGATGGAATTGCACTGTTGACTCTTCTGAGATACCTGCTTCCCCTTTACAAATGTCTTCCCATCCAATTCCTGACACTATGGAGTAGACCATCTTTGGCCTCAGTGCCCAGTGGCATTAGGTCCATTTTCTCAAATAGCTAACCAGTGTCTGCTACCTCATCATCATTGCCGGTTCCTTCTCCCTAATCATCTGTTGGATTTCACTTCTTCCTTCCTGTTTTCTTGAAACTTGTCTTTGAGCACCTACTATGTGATGAAGACAGCTGTAGTTTCCTCAGATCCTGAGTTGCCCATCTGTTCTCCTAGGAGCCAGAGCTGTGGCGACTGAGGGGTGGGGTCTACAACCCATATGCTGGTGAATTCCTAAGTCATAAGGGTCTTGGAGGTTTTTTGCAGGGTTTGAATATGCAAATGTCCCCAGTGGTCATGCAGGAACCATGAATAAGTGCAGTGTGGCTGGGGCACATGACAAGAGGGAGTGGTGGGGCCTGCAGTAAGTGGGAGACCACACGCTCTACCTAAAAGGGAAGACTATTCATCTCCTGCAGGTGCCCACCCTGCAGAGGTGCAGGCCCAGCATGGGTAGATTTTCCTTTTTGTTAAAAAACCCAGAAATGCAAATACTTATATGAAATTTTGCAATTTTTAATGTTGGCTGCTAATGCAACTGACAATAAAAACTGAGTGGGGCAGACAACACGCATTGTGCACATGTCAATCTCACTTAGTTTTATAGACGGGGAAACTGAGGCTCAGAGCAGGGAAGTGGTTTGTTCAGGGTTTCACAAGGAGGGTCAGCCTCACCCATTTTCTTAGAATTAGAGACATGGGATGCCTCTTTTCCAGGTCTCTCCCTCCTGCCCAGGAAAGCCAGCCCCAGAGAATGTCCGTGTGGGGGAGCGAGCAAAGGGCCATGGTGGCAAGGCCCAAGCCAGGGAGCTGCCTCTTGCAGAGGCTAGAAAATGATTTGGAATGAGTGCCTGGATCTGGGAGTCCTCTGTCCCTCCGCCTCTGTGTCTCTGGGTGTTTCTTTCTTTCTTTTAAAAAAGTATCAGTTTTTTTTTTTTTTAAAGATTTATTTTATTTATTTATTATACAAGCACTGGGTACAGTCAGAAGCGCGGGAGGGTGAGAGAATTCACCAGAGCCAGAGCGGGGAGCAGAGCAGGCAGAAGGACCGAAGTACACTGCTGAGGGGAGCAGCGGGCGAGGAGAGGTCTGCGCGCCATGTGGGACCCTCCTCCGGTGGCCGGGGAGCAGCCGGGGATTGAACTGGCGCTGCAGAGGCTGCGGGCAGCTTTGCAACCCAGCGCTCAACCGCTGCGCCACCGGGGAGGCCCTGGGTGTTTCTTTCTGTCTCTGTCTTTTAGCAACAAATGTGCTGGCTCTGACTGCTCCTGGGTCTCTCTGTGCCTCCTTTTCTCTATTTCTTGGCTCCCATCCCTGTCTCCTGCCCCGCAGTCTTTCTTCCTCTCCTCCGTACCTTCTTTCTGTGTCCCTCGGTCCGTTTCTTTCTGTCTCATCATCTCTGCCCCTCTGCGCATCTCTCTCTCCCTGTTCTCTCCCCACCTGTCTCTGCTCTTTCAGCATCTCCCCCATTTCTGTCATTCTCCCTTCCTCCCCCCACGGCCCTGTCCCCCCAGGCCTCTCCTCGCCTGCCCTCCCAGTCCCTCTGGCCACCACGGAAAGGTTACTGTAAACGGGAATGAAGCCGAGGGCAAAAGTAATCAACCCCCTGGCTGACCTCCGCTCCCTGCTCCCCACGCCCCGGCTGGTGGAGCCCTCGGTCTCCGGCTGCGCCCCCTCCCTGGAGCTCCCCGGCCCCCTCCCTCCCCACCCCCAGGTCCCCTTGCTGACAAAAGGCCTATCTTCTCTCTGCCTAAATGATTTAAATTCTAATCAAACATCATTTATAGTACATCTCGGAGCCGTCTCCTGGGAGCTGCTCCCACATGAGACGTTGCCATGGCAACCGGGGGGTCTTGTTTCAGAAATGTCAGATTGTATTATTGTCTTCACACTTCTCTGATAACCTAGTGTCTCTCTCTCTCTCCCGCTCTCTCTCTCTTTCTCTCTCTCTCTCCTTTTCTCACACCATCCTCAGGATTTTCTTCTTCCTCTCTCGCTACCATCCTACCCTCCATTCAACAACCCCAGGCTCTTCCTGCCCCCCCGCCACCCATCTCGCCGCGACCCCAGGAGAAAATGGCCTGATCGATTTCATCCCGAGCCGCTCACCAGCCCCGACGCCCCCTCCGACGCTTCTGGCCCTGGGGCCTCCCCGCTTTGGGAAAGGTGTCCCCCCCACCCCTCATCTTTGGCAGACACGCTGCCACCTCTAGGGGTTTGCTGGAGTGTTCTGGTGTCATTTTATTTTGCTAGATATGAAAATGAGACATAGATTTTTCCTGGAGATGCTTGTGTGAAGTTCTAATCTGCCTTTACAGAATTTTTTTCTTTTGTGGGAGGGGGTTGTGCTGGAAGAAACCAAGCTCCTAGCAGGATCCAAAGGGAGGGGGGAGCAGGGAGTGAAGATGTGGGGTGGGGTGTGCCAGCAGGCAGGGACTTGCAGGTGTGTGCTCCTGTGCGTGCATGTGTGTGGTCTAGTGTGTGTAGGTGCATGTTTGTGTAGCTGCGTGTGTGCTCACATGAGCGTGTACACATGTGCCTGTGTGCACCTGTGTGTGTACATGCAGATGTTTTTCTGCATGCAGTTGTGTACTGCGTGTGCACACAGGCACGTGCCCGAGTGTGTGTGCAGGCGTGTTTGCACACAGGTGTGTACTGAGTGTGCACACAAGCACGTGCCCGAGTGTGCATGCTCACATGCATTGTCTGGATGTAGACGGGGCCTTCCCCAGCCTGCTGTTTCACCTACCAGCTCCGAGGATTGGGCACCGGCCTTTCTTCCCACATAGCCCTCCAGAACATAAATGGGCACATCTTGCAGAGGCATTTCACATTCAGGTCCAGCGCCTCACCTGTGTGCTGCTGAGATGCATTAACCCTGCAAATGGCCCAGAGACTTTCTAAACCCAGCAGCCCCCTCATTCTCCAGATGGGTAAACTGAGGCTCCAGCAGGCACAGCAGCAGTTTCAAGGTCTGAAGTGAAGGTAGTGTGACCTACTGGGAGGTGGCACTGGAGCCAGCCTCCCCTGCCAGGTCACCATGACGCCCACTGTGCCAGGCGGTGCCAAGCCCTTTGTAAATAAGCTGTGTGGAGGCTCTGTCATCATCCTCACTTTGTAGGTGGGGAAACTGAGGCTCAGAGTGGTGATGTGTGGGAGCCCAAGCTCGCAGCGCCAGTAAATGGCAGAAGGGGGATTTGAACCCTGAGCTCTGTGGCCCTAGAGTGCACTTTTCCATCTTCATGCTGCTCCCAGTGGGGGGAGCATCTAGAGATGGCTTTGTCCCTGGCATCTGCAGAGTCGTGTCAGGCGGCAGAAGGGGAGCTGGTGGGACAGGGGCCACCACAGGCCCGAGGAACCAAGGTGCAAGAGAGCTGGCTGGAGAGCGGGGCTCTCCTGGGCAGGGCTTTGTCCCCAGCTGCGGGGACCGGAGGAGCAGCTGGGGTGGTTGACCGGGGGCAGAGCAGCCAAAGACTAGATTCACAATCGCCCCAAGCACCTTCCCTCCCCATTTCCCGGAAGGAGAAACAGAGGCTCAGGGAGCGCCGGGAACTTGTGTGAGATCACATGGTCTCAGCGCCCATTTCCATCATGTGGTTATGAGACGGAGGACGTGCTCAAATCCCAGCTCTGCCCCTCACTGACTGGGTGAGCCTGGGCTCCTTGCCGAGCCCTCTAGAGCCTCAGTTTCCCCATCTGTGAAGCAGGTATGACGATGGGTAGGAGGATTCATTAGCCAATTCTTGGACAACACTTAACATGGTGCCTGGCCTATGGGAAGCCCTGGGGCTGTTCTGATTTGCAGTTAAGATTCTGCGGACATATGCCCTGCTCAGTTCTAGAACTTTCTTTAACCCATGGCTCCTTTCTAACAACTGCGTTTGGTCAGCACAGTCACCTCTAAGGAGTTTCAGAACCTGCGATCTCCTGCCCCTGAAATTTTGGGGGTCAAAGCTTTAAGAAATGCCACCTTCCTCCCCTCGTCCCCCTTTTTGCCAGTCTCTGTGAGCCGGCTGAATCTGGCCCTCTGCCGCCTGGACTGGTGCTCACAGGACAGGAGCTGGCAGAGTCAGTGCCAGGCCCCTGCCGTCGGCAGCACCACATCCATGGACTTACGTTTTGAACAGGCCCCCATTTTCGCTTTCCGTTGCTCCCACAAAGTAGGTCCTGGTCCTGATCGAGACACAGAGAAGGACAATCCAGCCTCTCTCTGAGTCTCTAAGGTCTCTCTGTGTGTCTCTGTCCATCTCCCCGGGGTCTGTGTCTCTCCAGATCTGCCTCCCCGGGTCTCCCTCATCTCCTGGGGTCTTTCTCTGTCTCCTGGATCTCTTTTTGTCTCTCTCTCTCTCTCTCTCTCTGGGTCTCTGTCCATCTCTCTGCCCACCCCACCCCGGGTCTCTCTCTCTTTCTGAGTCTCCTGTCTCTCTGTCCCCCCAGTCTCTGTGTCTCCCTAGGTCTCTTTCTGTCTCTCCGTCTCCCCGAGTCTCCCTCTGTCTCTGGGCAGAGACTGACCCGGGAGGCGGTACGGGGCTGCGGAGCGGGCGCGCGGGAGGAGGGCTGGGTGTTTGTCCAAGGCGTGCATTGATCCCCTGCCCGCGGCAGCCATGGGATAAATCCTGGCCGCGGTAATGAACCTCCCCACGCAGCGCTCTCAAAGCACACACCAGCCCTGGCCCCAGCGGTTAATATTTAACTGAATAAGGGCCATAAATATGGAAAATGGGACTTTTAATTAAATAAGCAGCTTTTAAAAGGGCCCTTGGGCGGGAGAGGCTTTTGTTTAAATATGATTGATTTGACATGTCCTTTCTCTCTCACTCGCCCGGCTCTCTTCCGACGACGTTCGCGCTTGGCCCCGGCCTGGGAGCAAGTTGGCGGAGGCCGCCCTGGCCTGCTGGAGGGAGAGCTTCATTGCTGGAGGAAATGGGGTGCAGCGGGAAGGAGGGGACCCCCAGCTTGGCATCAAAAACCCGGCTGCTGTGGCCACCCACATGTGGGTTAAGCCACATCAGAGACCTGAGTGTGAATTTCATCTCTGACAAAATGAGCCAGTGGGGCAACCTTTCTCCAGATCATGGGGTGCAGGTTTCCCAAGGCTTGGGTTTCACCTACCATACAACTATGCACGCTTTGGGGGTCCTTCCCTCTGTGCCTCAGTTTCCTCCTCTTTAATATGGGTCAATAACACTACCTAATTCATAAGGCTGAGTCATATCAAGTGCATTCCACAACACAGTAGGGCCACAGAATGTTCATTGCTCTCCGAGTGTTTGCAGTGATGACACCCTGAGACTGTGTGACCCCCAAGAGGTCCACAGAGGCAGCTTGGAGGGCACAATCCCCCCGACCCAGGCCTGCAGTATTAGGGGATGTGCTTATCCCCATCATGAAATTCTTAACGATCTTTGAAGAGGGGGCCCTGCCTTTTCATTTCGCACTTGACCCTGCCAAGTGCGTAGCCCTTCTGCCTGCACCCATCAGTCTTGTTGCCCGAGATCTTGGTGGTTGGGAGGTAGTGACTGACTTCAGGGGTTTGGAATGCTCCAACTCCGGGGCTGGCAGAGACCCCACAGTCAGAGGTCAGAGGTCAGAGGTCTTGTCCTGCCTCCAAGCTAACGGTCTTTAACTTTCAAAACTACCACAAAATAGGAAGCCATGTCCTATGGGCTATGAATTTAATATTTGCAACGCGCTTTCTACGGGCAGGATTCTGGGTGCGCCAGACCTGGAGCACTGGTGCTCATCCCTCTTTCTGGGTAAGGAAACAAGTCTCAGAGAGGCTGAGCCGTCAGCTTCTTAGCTGGTTGCCCAGCTAAGGGGCAATAGAGCTGGGATTTGAGCCCTGGTCCCAAATCTGAAGTCCCACGCAGCCCATGGGACTGGTGCAAGCCCATGTCCTGGAACTCATGTCTCAGTTGGTCCTGACTCCTCTGAGGTAGCATGGAAGTCACCTCCCTCGAAACTCGGCCACCCTCCATTGCCTGAGGAGGGGAGGCAAAGAGGGTGCGGTGGGGGTGGGTATTTAGTTTCCCCTGACTCTGCCCTACCTCCATTTCTTCCTCTTCCTAAGTTAAATAAGTCTTTGCTAATTCCCATTCATGGTCTCCCTCTTCCAGGAAGCCTTCCCAGATGTGCTGTGCTTGTGACAGTGTGTTGCTTTCCTAAGTCTTCCAGGTGTCTGTGCACAGCATTGCCCACACTGCTCTGGATGAATCCATCCATCCGTTCAGTCCTTCACAAAGTCAGCCACCATTTACTGATGACCTGTTCTTTTAGCCCCTCAACTTGAAGACAATATATTTTTTTCTTTTTAACGTTCTGAAACTGGGCCATGGTGCATCTGTAACACCCACTTCTATTTTCTAGAAATACTATAATTAAACAGATGGTGCTTCTTATAATTGATGGCATTTTCAGAATGTGGAAAGAAGAGTTTGAACACAGTCCCAGGCCAGGTGTTGGGAAGACGGGGAGAAATCAGACAGAGTGACTTGCTAGAAGCTTCCAGTCTAGCGCGGGTTATATTTAAAAGCACCTTTCTTTCTACTTCCTGAAAAGCCCACTTCTGACGTGTCCACTCAGCGCTTCACATGACCCTCTGCGCCCTCGTGCCCCTGTGGGCTCTTCTAAGAATCTCATATTTTGTCTCATTTAATCGTCACGCAACTTAACCAGGTGTGATTTGCGATCACAATGCGGGGTGATCACTCCCAGCTTGCAGATGAGGAAATGAGGCCCAGAGGCAGGAAGTGCCCGGCCTGGGATGGCCGCAGTCTGGTTGCAGAGGCTCCCTCCTTGGCCTCCATTCTCTTGCCCCTTCCTTTCCCCTCCCTCCCCCACCCTGGTGTCGGAGGGGTGGTGGTGTGAATGAAGGGTTGGAAGCTCACCTTCTGGGGAGACTGGGCTGGAGGCCAAGGTATCCTCTAGAGTTTGGAAGGAGTCACAGGGCTCCATCAGAGGCTGACCCGGCCCTTGGTGCCTTTGGTGGTCACGTTCACGACCAACCTTTCCTCGGTGGGATGTCCAGAGCTCAGCCCCACAGCACCAGCTCCGAGCACACGCACCCACTCTGTGGGGCAGGCAGTGGCTGGGTGGGGGTCAGCAGAATTCCCACATCACTGTGCCAGCATGCCCGTTGCCATGGCAACGCCTTGTGGCTGGGTGGGGGTGGGCGGGCAGGGCGAGCAGGGCTGAGTTAGTGCTAGTTTGGGGTGGAGACAACTGGACAGAGGCACAGGGCTGTTCCCGGTTTCTGGAACCCATGGCAGGAACTGGGGTGACCAGTGAGGCACCTGGATTCCTCTCCTGTGAGCTCAGGGCCATGTGGCACAGACCCTAGAGAAACCCCTCCCTACAGCCCTCAGCATGCCCTAAATTTCTGCCTCCCCAATTTTTCTTCTTGCTCCATTTCCCGCTGGCACCCAAATTCAGCCATTAGCGTCTCCCTCCTGGGTGAATGGGCTCCAGCTGGAAACCGCCCCCATGTATGCACGTTCTACCCAGCAGCCAGCTGAGCTTTCTCGAGTAAAACTTCTCCCTTCTGCAAGCAGCAACGCACCGTGCAGCCCCTGCTGCACTCGGTCCAGGCGCGGCCACGCAGGGGGAAGTGTGACTCCCGTCAGGCCCAGAAACCGGAAATCAGGGAGGCAGGGAGCAAAGGTCGGGGTGAGGCCAGCTCCTCTGGCATCAAAGGAGATTACGAGCCCGCTCTTGGGGCTGAGAGCTGGGCCAAAATCAGCCTGTGATCCCAAGTGAGATGAGTTCAGAGGTCGCCAGCTGGCTCCTTTGTGTGTCAATATTAGCACGAGAGTCACCTAATTGGGGTGGGTCAGCCAGTGGACACAGCCAGGGCCCCTCAGGAGAAGGGAAACGGACCTAGGACTCCTCCGGGCCCTGTGTTGGGTGCTCGACACCAGGCAGCCCATCCGTTGTCTCAATATTCCTACTGATAATACTCATGTAGAAGTAGCCACAGAGGAAAGCAGTCGCCACATGTATTGAGTGCTTTTAAATCCAGGCTTGGTTCCTGGCACTGCTAATTAAACTGTCTCTTCCAATCTCCCCATGAATTAGATGCCGATGCTGCCTCTTCCTACGGCCAACGACACGGAGGCACAACATAGGTTAAGTGAGCAGCGCGATGTCACCCCGCTTCAGTGACCTACCAGGGCTTGGCTCCAGCCAGGCTACCTCCTCCCAATGCTGGGAGGCAGAAATGACCCTCTCTGCTTTAGGGGTGGAGAAAGCAAGGATCAGAGAAGGATTGAGCCTATCCTAAGTCATACAGCAATGACGCCAGAGCCGAGCGCTGAACCCTCCAGAACCCAGGGTATCATGGCGGTGCCTTATTTTAAGCTCATCCCTCCCAGATTCTTTGGGCACTGTTCTTGCCTTCCTGGTCCCCAGGGACAGTGAAGTTTTACTGGCTGATTATTGTAAACCTGCCATCATCATGGCTCAGACTGACCACAGAGACTGACGCTCATCTCCCTTGGTTTCAGGTCAAACGGGCCCATGTGGACACTGGGATCGTGCATCCCTGTACCTGCCAGACGCCCACTTTATGGAAGCTGAGTGAGCGGAAACACCCCTGGACTGGAATGTTCTGATAAGAAACTCAGTTCAACAGCCATTAACACAACCACCATTTCTCAAGGGTCTGCTATGTGCCAGGAGCTGGGCACAAAGTGGTGAACAGAATCCCACCCTCTCCTGCCCACCTATAACTTACATCGCCTGTAAAGACACATGGAATGGATGACAAGAGTTACTAAAGGTAGAAGCAGCCAGCTGTGGCCGGCGAGGTTAGAGGAGATAGCCCTTAACAAAAGGACCCTTGAACCGCGAATCTGATAGACGAGTAGATACTAAATCAGTAAAGAGTGAAAGGAAGGGCACTCTAGGCAGAAGGAACAGCATATGCAAAGGTTTAACACATGTTCCTGTTGAAACTGAGGGAGACTTCTCATTCCTATTTTATAGATGAGAAGACTGAGGCTTGGAATAATGGGGTCCTTGCCTAAGTGCACAGCCTTGGTCTTAGTCCTGTCTCTGATGCATGAGATTCTCTCTCTGCTCTTCTACACTGTTGCTTGGAAATGATATCATGGTGGAAGGAAAGCTTCCCCCGGGGAAACAATGCAGGCTGATCTGATATTTGTATCACATTTTTAGGTTGCTGTGGTTGAAACCCAATGCAAACTGATTTAAGCAGAAAAAAAGGAAATTTATTGTCTTATGTAACAAAAACCCAGGGATAGATGGCTTCAGGACGAGCTGGATCCAGAGGCTCAAATGTCATCATGGCTTAGTGTGTCTCTTCTTTCCCTGGTCCCGCTTCCCGGATGTTGGCTACATTCTCAGGCTCCACATAAGAGCTCCTGGCAGTCCCCTGCTCAGCCCACCCTCACTGTTGGCAGTCCTGGAACCAGAGTTCTGGAACAAGAGTCCTGGAATGAGAGTCTTCTTCTCCAAACATTCCAGAAAAACAATCTTGGATTAACTCTCGTTGGACCAACTTACTTACGTTCCCATCCCTGAACCAATCTGTGTAGCAAGGGGTGGAAAGGTTCTGATTGGTTACATCTGGAACACATGCCTGTCCTGGGCCAGTCAAGAGGCCCAGCCGGTCCTAAGTCATGTGATCACCTTTGGATCCGAAGGTGGGTCAGCCTTGCCCAAGCTCTGCAGGCACAGGTGGTAGGAGGTGGTGATGCATCCACAGGAGGACAAAAGCAGGAAAGGCAAAGAGCCCATGGTTGGGTCCCCCCAAAGACCAAAGTAGAAAATGTTTCATCACCCCATAAAAGCAAGCTGGGTTTTGTAGATGGGGGACACTCACAGAGATCATTCATTTGCCCCTTCTGATGGCTCCATGAGGCCCCGTGTTTTTGCTCTTCTGGTTTTTTCCAACACCCCAGATTTATCCCCCCACCACACTGGAATTTTAGACACCCAACACCTCTGGAAGCGGCCATGTCTGCCCTCCCACCCCGATGGCTTTTCTATCTCATCTAGAAACTGGAGACCATAATGCCAGCCTTATAGATGTCAAAGGTCATGTAAATGGATTAATCCAGCCCAGCGCGTGGGTGGTCTGTCACTCATCACTAACATTACGAGCTCTCTCGCCCCGGTTTTGCAGACACATAAACCGAGATGAAAAGAAAGCCCCTCTTGCTTTAGGCCACAGTGAGCGGCGGGAGCAGACGTGGCCAGATGGGGGCTTCCAAGCCTGTGCTTTGTCACCTCGCCTCTGGAGGAGCGATTCTGTCATTTGCTGTGGTCCCCTCAGCTCCTTGACCCGATTCACAGAATGGGGTGCACTATGCCTGCCTCATTTATATAATTTTGATCTGAAGATCCCATAGACATCGATTCAGCCACTGTGGGTGAGCAGAGGAAACAGGCACCTCATTAAAAATTAATACCTTATTCTACTACGTGGACACGAGAGTCAGATCAACAGGCTCGCCCGACCATGGGTGGGAGGGAGACGCCCGCATCCCACCCCGTGAGCAAACACGCTCCAGCCTTCCGCTCTCGGCGCCTTCTGGAGCTCGGACTGAGTGCAGAGCACGGGAATGTGATCTCTGCGAACAGCCCCCCAGGGGGTCTCAGCAGGTGCGCGTGGTTGGGAGATGAAGCTGAGGCTCAGAGCAGCGCGGGGGCTTGCCCAGAGCCACAGAGAAGGTGTGGGGCAGGCATAACCCCTGCTCCTGGCAGCTTGTCCTCCTGGAGAGGGAAGGAGCTGGAGCCTGCGGCAGCAGCCAGCCCAGCAGTTGGGGTGGGGGCTGGGCCCTCTGGCCACGGTGCCAGCCACACCTACCTAGTGCTGGGCACGACCCGTCCTTGCAGCCCTCACCTGCTAGTGGTAAGTGGCTGTGATGTGCTGAGGTTGTAGCTCCACGGCAGTCAGCTCTTCCCGCAGCCCGGGAGGGAGATGCAGCCCATTTCACAGATGAAAAGGCTGAGGTTCAAAGAGGTGCTGGTGGCAGAGCTGAGCTGAACACGAAGTGGCCCCACCCAGGGGCCCCCAGCGCAGTGCCCAGGTCTTGCAACCCTCTGCTGAGCTGTCCATGGCCTTCGAGAAGGTCAGCGGTGTGGGGACCCAGCCAGCGGCAGGAGAGAGCGGCGCAGAGTCCGGGTTAATGACCTGGCATTGTCTGACATTTGGGTTTTACTCTCTGTGGGAAGTGCACTAATTACTCCTGCTCCCTCAGAAGTCCGACTTAACTACCACTGGATTTTATGGAGTTCTTTGGGGCTTCCACTGCCGCGCGGCTTCTGGGACCACGGTGGCAGAGATGGGCATGCCTCCTCCGGTGGGCGAGTCCCTGGACTTGGCCCCATGCGGGGGAAGCCCCCCATTCACTCGCTCTGCACCAGGCACGCACACCCCGGCCTCCCCTGACCACCCGGCTGGCGAACAGGTAGGAAAATGGGTTCTAAAGGCATGAATGACGGCCCTAGTCTGCCTTTCCACTGCACCTCACAGAAAGGGGGGGGGGCCGCACTCCCCTCCACCCCCTTGTTAGGTCTGCAGGGAAGGTACTGAGAGCCCCACTAGACAGGAGGGGAAACTGAGGCAAAGAGCCATACACACAGAGCTTAAAAACATGGACCGTGTGAGGCTGGACTCTGGGTTGGTAGCACGTTTCTCATGTCCAACTGTGTGAGGAGCCTCTCTGTGCCTCAGTTTCTCTATTTTTCCCAAAGGCGAATTGAAATGGCATTTTCCCATGAATGCAGGAGACTCAGGTGAAAAACTGAGGCCACACCTGCCAGGCCCAGCCAGGAGTCGCGATCAGCGGTGACAGAGCTGCCTGGGATTTCACTTGGCTGCGTCCTGAGTGCCTTTGGGGGGCGCTGCTCACGGCATGAGGTGAGACACGGCCCTGGAGGCACAAAGGGGTGGCCCTGTGTCCTTGACATGTCTGTGCTCCCATGAGTTCACGGAGGGGAGGAGAGACAGAGGTGAACTTGCTCGGGGACAAGAGCCATTGGGACCCAGGAGGAAGGCTCCGTGCCAGGTGTGTCGTCACATCTCACAATCACCGGCAGACAAATATCACCTTCCCCAACCTCATGACACAGACGAGGAAGTGGAGGCTCGGAGAGGTCCAGTAACCAGCCTGAAGTCACACAGGAAATGGTTGATGTCGAATCCAAACCCCGGCTCATCTTGTTCAAAACAGGATTCGGGATAAATGCGCGACTGCCTCAGGCGAGCTTGCGGGTCCTCTCCTGGAATGTGGCGCCCAGGACGGGCAGCGGTCACCGCGCAGTCCATCCAAGCCAGAGATGTCGAGGCAGCCTCCACCCTTCTCCTCTCTCCTCGCCTCCCCTGGGCCTGGACTGACGCTGAGCTCAGTCTCTTTGTGCTCCTCTGGCAAGTGGACATCCTGCCCCAGCAGGGGCTCTGCTTCTGCTCCGCCCCCTGCTCGCCCCCCAAATTCCAGTGGCTTTCAGGGCTCCACCAGGCCCTCCAGACAGCTGACATTTTGCACGGTCCCTGCGGGCAGTCCTGGGCGGTGGGAACAGGCTTAGGCCGGTGGAAGCAGATATCTTAATTAAACTTTGGGAGAAGAACAGTCTCCCCTCCTCATCCCAGCTCCTGGGAGGGGAGCCAGGCCCCTCTTGGCCAGGCCCTGGGGGAGTTTAACCCTCTGTCGTCAGTCCCGGCTTAGCCAAAGGCAGCGAGCATCCCTCCCTCCTCCCTCCACCGCCCCATCTTCCGGCCAGGTGGACAAAGGCGCTCACCTGGGAGAGGTGTGACTGCGGAGACCTGCGTCACACTGGAGGGACAAAGGGTGGACCAAAGTTTTTTTGTTCTCATTTAACCCCGAGAGATAGGCCCTATTATTATTCCCAGTTCACAGATGGGGAAACTGAGGCAGACAGGGCTTGCCCTTTGCCCAGCCCCACTTGGGACAGCAGGGGTCTGAACCATCCGCAACTGCTGGCTTCTTCTCCCTTCGGTGAATGGCACTGCTGCCACCCCAACCTTATGTTTTCATGGTCCACATTCTCCAGAATGTTCCCATCTGTTACTTCCTGTGTGCAGGAGGATGCAGGTGGTGAGTGAAGGAGGAAGCAATCAGCCCTGTCTTCTCAATGGGGAAACTGAGGCCCGAGGGATCATGGGTTGACCAGCTGGGGCAGGGGCTGGCCTCCTTTTTTGCCTCTGCGGCTTCCCGCCAGCCTCTCCGGGTCCCTTGATCAAAGTCCGGGCCCCTCTCCTCGCTTCCTCCCTCTCTCCTGCCTCCCCCAGGGCCTCCCCCGGGGAGAGCAAGGAGGACAGTGATGGATTTGGGCCAGCCTTCATTTTCATTCCCGAGCCTCGCCTCTCGCTGCCTCTCCCTCCCGCTCCACTCTCCTCCTGCAGACGGATGACAAGTGAGAATGCCCGTGACCCAGAGAAATTATCTTCCTTCTCTTTCACCGCATAATTTTCTGCCCTCTCGTCTGGACAAGCCTGGGTGATTTTTAGCTACAAAAAAGGGGGAAAATTATCATTCAGGAAAAAAAAAAAATAGAAGGAGGCTCCTAGCTATTCGACAGACAGGCTGTCTCTGGGTGAAAATGAGAATCTCCCATCCTGTGAACTCCGGGGGGTTTCACAGGTGTTCATGCTCGCGGGATGGCTGTGTGCACCCCGAGAATGAGGCCCGAGGCCTTAGAAGATTGCTAAGGATTGAGGCACCTGTGGGTTTTTCTGCGGGCATCCCAGTGCCTGCCCACATGTGTGCACACATTGAGGACTTTGTGGGGGACAGCATGGTTGTGGGCCACCTGGGAGGTGTCTGGCATCTCCTAGCAACCCAGTTTACTGTGCCCAGGACCTGTATCCCCTTCCCACTCCAATTTTTGACCTTCTGGAAGTTTCTCTTCCCATCCCAACACACACACACACACACACACACACACACACACACACACACACACACACACACCCACTAGCGCTGGGGTCTGGAAAAACGGCACTGCCAGATTGAGCTGCTCTAGTCTTCACTGTGCTGTGTGACCTGGGAGGCGTGGCACTGCCTCTCTGAGCGCCAGCTCCACCATCGATAAAATGGGGATAATAGCACGGAGGGCCCTTAGGTAATGTACCTTATAATGTGACTAATAACCTACCTGATAATGTGACTTAGATAATGTACCTGCAGTGACATAAGACCTCTACCCGCAGCTGCTGGCAGTGTTGTCACTGCTGCTCCCATGTGGCTCTGCTGCCTGGCCCACAGGGGCTGCTTCCTCCTTCAGGGTCTAGAAACAAATGTGGTGTTTCAGTGAAAGAAGCTGTTCTGTGGCCCCAGTCTCTTGCAGGCCTCTTTCCCTCCCTCCCTCCCTCCACCCACGGCCATTACTTTAAGGTCAGAGGCAGGCCCATGGGGTTGGTGAAGCCCCCAAATAAAGCACACACACCTCTTTTGCAGCCATGGAAAATGGCTTTCTCTCCCAGTGAAGCCAGTGGTCATGAAACTAAGAGAGTCAGAACTGCTACTGTTTTGTGTGAATTCTCAGAACACCAAGGCAGTGTTCTGAGGATGCAGGGTCCAGAGACCCTCTTAGGGACCCTGTGGGGCTCTCCCACCTTGCATCTTTGTGCAACCAGATTTCCTTCCTTCCTTCCCTCAACCAAATCATCAAGTCATGTCAGATTGAATGTAGAAGTAGGTTTGTGAATCTAGATGTTTCCTTGAAGCCAGCTGTGACAGAGAGCTGTAAAAACACCAAATGAGTACATTTATTGTTGTTATTTGGAAAATAATATTAGCTTTCCACGAAATAGGTTATGTGATTGTCTAATTGATTATAGTAGTATTTTTAAATGAATTAAATATCTTCAGATGTCTCTGTTTTAATTTCTGAACAGTAAATACCAATAGGTGGCACCCACATAAATGATAGCTGTTAGAGGGCCCCACTGCTTGAAGGTGTCCTGAGTCTGAAAAGTTTGAGAAGTGCACCCCTAGGGAAACCTACCTGGGGGTAATGAAAGAGATGGGAAACACCTGCTTCTCACCAGGGTGGGGTGCTATGGGCTCCTGTTTGCTGGGGCAGGCAGAGAAGTCTTGGGGCAGGGAAATGGGGGGGGTGAAGGAGTCTGGCTGGACAATAACCAAAGACCACCATCCCTAAGGGTCATAAAGTCCACAATGGACTTGAAATAATATGGTGAAAATAGTGTTTTCTAGAATTCCTTTTGTGGTATGGAGAGCCTTGTCTGTTCATTGATGAGATACTTGGGGTAGGCATGAGATTCCCCAGTAATTTTTTCAATGAACAAAGATGTTTTCTAAACTGCCTTCTGAGAAGCATGGGTCTGCAGTGATGGGTCACTTAACAAAGGGCTATACTCTGAAAAATGTGTTGTTAGGCGATTTTACTGTGCCAACACCAGAGAGAGCAATTTCACAAAGATGATAGAGTCATGGCATATGAGGCTCTCTATAGCCACCTGCAGTGTCTATGCAGTCCCTTGCTGACCAAAACATCTCTATGTGGCACATGACTAAGATACTAACTGCAAGGCTGAAGAGAATATGCAAGTTTGGGGCCAGAGCGGAATTGCTAAGCATCATGGAGAGACCTATCTTTTCCATCAGGGGGCTGTTTTTCTTGCCGTCTCCCATGAGACTCTCTGCTGCTCCTTAGAACAATGCCAAAAAACTTTCAACAGGTGTTGGCTTGAAGAGACACCAAAGTATTAGCCAGATGGGCAGAGAATTGGAGCTGATTGTGAAGAGAGAACAAATCGAGAAGCAGGTGGAGTCAGGAAAGGGGCAAATAAAAGCTGTGGGCAGAACACGGCTTCTGAGCCCATTGGGGTGAGTTTGTGACACTGTGAGACCCCAAGTCCAAAGTGCAAATACTGACTCTCCCCTCAGGAAGAGAAGTTTGCCCGAGATATCCCAGGAGCCATGTGGAAGGTGGAGACCCCCAGTTGGCCTCTGAAGGAGGCTGGTCAAAGGAGCAGCATTTTCTTGGCCAGTGTGACTCACTTACTACATGGAATTTTTTTCTTAATGGAATAGATTGGAGGGAGGCCAGGGCTGCTCTGAGGACAGTAGCTCCCAGGCCAGGACTGCATGAGAAACTCCATGTAGAGCCATGGATTAGCAGGTGTCCACCCTGGTTTCCAATCAAAATAACCTGAGGAGCTTAATAACATTGTTGAGGTCCTGGAGTCATTATTCTAGAATCTCTAGGGTGGGGGGTGGGTGAAGATCTAGGTAGGTGTTTTGAAGATACTCCCCAGGGAAGCTTCTGGTGCAGCCTAGCTCTGGATGGGCCACACAGCTGGCTTTATAACTGCAGGAACACTGCCTGGACACATCTATCTTAGTCTCACTACTTTCGTTTTTGCGGATTATTTATTATGCATATTTCAATGGTGTTTCACAGGTGTCAACACCTGGGTAACTACCACCCAGATCAAAATATTGAGCATTCCCAGCCTCCTCCAGCACCCCCATCAGTGGCCTTCTCCCCAGGGCAGTCACTGCTCTGACTTCACTGCTCTCCCTCATACTGGACTTCAGACCCACATACCGATATCATGTCTGGCTTCTTTGGGTGTCTATCATCTTATTTTAATTGCATTTTATTCCTTTCTCCCTTCATCTTATACCCCAAATCCAATGTCTGTTGGTAAATGTTTCAATAGCAACATGGCTCATTTAATACATGAAATCTTCTTCTTAAAGGAATAGATTGGAGGGAGGGAGGAAGGAGAGCAGGGCTGCTCCAAGGAGAAGCCTCCGGCCCAGGACTAGGTGAGAAGCTGTGGGCTGCAGTAGGAAAGGGGAGTCAGAACCCTATGGCGGTATACCCTATACCTGCAGAAGGGCCAGTCTTCTGCAGTCCGGGGCAGGGCAGCACCAAGCCCAGGGCCTCTTCCTTCAAATCGCTGTGTCCCCACATGTTGTACACAGCGCTGGGCCGTTGGCACTGCTGGCACATCTGGGGACTTCCTGACATTGAACTGTCATGTCCTGGTTGAGAGGCAGCTGGAAGCACCTATCCTCCCACAGAGCGTGGCAGATAAGATGCTCTTGGTTCTTAGTTCAGCAACCTGGACATCCATCTTTCACCTTTTATGACTCACCTTGGGTCTGAGATGACTCCAGCACCAGGAAACGTGTTCACATAGACCCTCAACAGATGTTTCCTGATTGAGCAGAAAGAGGTGGCTTCAGTATCCACGTAATAGCGTGGTCGTCCCGCGGGCCTGGCGGCTTCTCTTGGTCCCCATGGGCCTTGCTCTCAGCTGGGGTGCAATGAGGGGCAGGACAGAGACTACTCTGCTGCCCGACAGCCCCGTCCCCTCCCTTGTAATTTGTTCTTTCAACCTTCCACGTTTTTGAGGCTTCCACCCTGGGAGAAGCAGCGTTTCAGGCCATTGTGTGATTTCTGTTTCAACGCATACATTCGCTTAACAAGAATTTATGTGGGCCTCTGGAGAGAACACAAAACACCAAATAAATGTTCTTTTTTCCTCCTTGTAACATTGTGTAAAGAATTTGTCATCCTCATAATTTTTCTTTCCTATTCCACAAAACGTTTATTGTCACGATGTGCCTCAGACCCTGCAAACCCAGGGGACCCACGAGGCGCTCTTCAGAACTCGCGCAGACAAACCCCTCCTCTCTCCCACTCGAGTCTGCTCTCCTTTAACCGTCAGCCCCTTCCCCACCTAGACCCGCTGGCTCACGGATTATACCCCAGAGAGTGATCTTTCTCAGTTCGTGGTGTCTTGTCCATCAAACTTGCTTGTGGGTGAAATAAGGATCCATGTCTACCCTGATTCATTGCCATTCAGCCTTTCCCAGTAAACATGGAACTAAAGGCAGAGAGATTTAAATAGTAGGCTCATTGCTAACATCAAAGATGCCTCTCCCACATCTAGTGCTCCATTTTAGAATCTCAAGGCTACTGCTTTTGAGCTCAGTTTCATCCATATTGTTAAGTCACTTCTCCCAGCCCTATCTCTTTCTCCTTGTACCAGCCCAGGAATGCTCTTGACAAGTAACAAAAACGAACTAACTGTCTCTTAAATGAATGGGTCCCTTATTCTCACATAATGAAAAATCTAAAGAGAGGTGACTGGACTATCTTTGTGATTCTCTTGACCCTGCCCTCCACATTACAAAATGGCTGCTGCAGCTCCAGACATCACATCCAAGTTAAAGGCCAAAGTAAAGGAGGAAGGGAGTGAGCCGTGTGGGTTTGCTCTTTTTTAATCAGAAAAGAAAAATCTCTCTTGAAAATCTCCTAGCAGATTTCTCCCTTAGGTCTGATTGACTAGAGTGGTGCCTCAGACACCCCAATTTTTGACAGGGGTTGAAAAAACATGTTGAAGGCAGCACCCGTGAAGAGGAATGGAAGGAACCAGTTATCCCACAGTAACTGCCACCTCCTGTTTTCACCCCTCCTTGAACACCTCACTGTTGCATCATTTTTATGTTCTTATTTTGGTGAATAAGAGTTGCCTCTACCTGCTAAACATCTCGTGAATTCTCCACATCAACCACTGAAGTCCTCAAGGCATAGGGTCTCCCCGATCTGGACCTGAGAAGTTGCTACCATTTCCAGCCTGTGTGGGGGCTGCTTTTCAGCCCCTAAGTCTTGGCTATACTAAAAAGTGTCCTTCCCCAACCACCTCCACCAAAGCTGGCCATTTCTTGGGGCCCATTGCTGCTTGAAATGATAAAGGTATTTGTTCCTGGTTTACTGTCTGTTTTCCCACGAGACCTACAAGGTAAGAACTTTCTGTTCTGGCAGTGTGTCCCGGGCAGCCTCTCAATAAATATTTGTCTGAATGAATGAGTAAGTGAGAGGGAGGAGGGAAGCCATGCGGAGTCTAGAACTGTCCGCAGATGTGGTCAAGTGGGGACGGTGGCTGCAATAAGCCTGGAACGTTCACTGGTTACAGCGGCGCTCTGGCCAGGGGTAAATTGTGTGTGTGTGTGTGTGTGTGTGTGTGTGCACCTTCTCCAAAACAAAACAAAACCAGAAGAAAAAAGCTGACGGGTTTTGAGGCAGCTTCCCCATAGTCCTTCTGCTTAACCCCACCTCGAGGGCCGTGCGGGTGGTGGGATCACGGAATGAACCGCTCGCTGTCACCATGGTTCTCTGCTGTGAAGGCCCCGCGTGCGGCTCGTGAGCTCATGCGGACAGGCCGCAGCGGGGAGGGGCCGGCTGCACGCTGCACACAATCACAAGTGCACTCTGCTTGAGAAAGGCCAGCCTGGGAGCTACCCAGTCTGGCCGAAGGGTCTTGATGCCCGTGCGGTCCCTCGCCCAGGAAGGAGGTCCCTTCTTCACCCCCAAAACCTCCCGCCTCCATCTCCTCCTTGTAGAGGTCACCTCTGTGCAGACTCATTTCTACTAACCGTCGGCCCGCCAAGGCCAGGATGGTGCCACCCCAGGGCCCAGCGCCGCGTGGGTGCTGATGAAATGCTCATTCTCTCCCGTCGG